CTTCGGCAATGCTGGATTCGGGTTCAACGATCAGGGATTCGATAACGCTGGGAAATATGGTTTCAATGCTCAAGGCTTTGGGCAAGATGGTTACGGTGTGGCCAATCAGGGTTACGGAGGGTTCGGAAATGGAAACGGCGCTGGGTTAACGGCTTTTGGGCCTGCTGGAGGTGTTCAGGGATACGGCAACAGAGGCCGAGGCCCAGTGATGAATCAGATTAGAGCTGGCCGCAATAATGAATATGATGGGTATGGAGATGGGAATGGTATGTGGCAAGAAGATCAGCAGGAGGACGCTTTCTCCGGCGGAGGCTTTGAAGGGCCGATGGATAACTCCCAGAAGATCAGAATGCTAGAAGAGCAGATGAGGGGGGTCCTGAACCAAAGTGCTGTGGGCTTGGACATGGCAACAATGGGTCTGGTACCTGGCTTGAGGGTGCCAATCAAATTCAAAGCTCCTACGTTTGATAAGTATAAAGGGGACACCTGTCCGAAAGTGCACGTGCGGGCTTATTACAGAAAGATGTCTGCGTACTCCATTGATGAGAGAATGCTAATGCATTTCTTTCAAGATAGTTTGTCAGGCCCTTCCCTAGAGTGGTATATGGGATTGGAGCCAACTAATATCAAGACATGGAAGCAATTGGCAGAGGCATTTGTAGCTCACTACAAGTATAACAACGACTTGGCGCCCAATCGGGTCCAATTGACAGGGCTGTCTCAGAAGAAGGGTGAGAGCTTTAAAGAGTACGCGCAAAGGTGGCGCGATATGGCTGCCAGGGTCCGTCCCCCTTTAGAAGACAAGGAAATGAATGACATGTTTATTGGAACCTTCACAGGCATGTTTTATGACAAGTTGTTTCACACATCTTTGGCTAGTTTCTCAGACTTAATTCTGATGGGAGAAAAGATTGAAAACAACATTAAGCAAGGCAGGTTCCAGGCTGAGGAATCGACTGCATCTGGCAGTAATAGGAAGGCTTTTGGTGGGCGCCGTCAGGGCGAGGCAAGCGCAGTATTTGGAGGCCGAGGCAGGGGACGAAACCAATATCATCAGCCGCAGCAGGTGGCGAGTGTTACTATTCCATATCAACAACAACCGTTTCAGCAGCAGCCAATGCAACAACAACAGCAGCAGCAGCCTCAGCAGGGGGCACAGCAGGCTCAGCGAAGATTCCAGGGTGGTAAACCAAGAAGAGTGTTTGAGAAGCCTCCCTCAACGTATGCTGATTTGTTGCAGACATTGTTGGGTTTGAACCTGGTAGAGAAGAGAACTCTGGCACCGATAACGGGAACTCCTCCGTATGGTTATGATGCAAGCAGGCACTGTGAGTTTCACTCTGGGGCTCCGGGCCACGATATAGAGGGTTGCCATGCTTTTAAGCATGTTGTGCAGGATCTTTTGGACAATAAGGCTATCAACTTCGGAACGACAGGTCCGAATATAGTGCAGAAGCCCATGCCTAATCATGGGGCAAACGCCATTCTGACTGAGGAAGGGTTGAATCTGATTATGAATGTCGACGATTTAAAGACGCCGCTGAGCGAGATAAAAAGTAGATTGTTGCAGGGGGTGTTTACCTAGGATGTGACGAGTATTTCTTAGAATGCTGGACCCTAGCTGAGGGGTGTGATGATTTGAAGAAAGGCATTCAGGCTTTAATTGATGGAGGCACATTGCAGTTTGACCGAGCGGCAACTGAAGAGCCTGCAGGGGCAGTAGCAGATGATCAGAGTGATGTGGCCACTGTAACGATTCCTCGGAAGACAATCACTATTGCAGCACCGGTCCAGCGACCACCGATCACCATAACTAAGGCCGGGCCGATCCCGTACGAGAACACGAAAGCAGTCCCATGGTCATATGGGTTGGAGGTGTATTGTGACGGGATAAAGATTGATGTTAATAAACGGCCAGCCGAGACTGTAGAGAATGTGGTTGGTTCAGGAGGTATGACAAGGAGTGGTAGGATCCTTATATCACCTGAAGTGGAGGCCGAAAGACTAGCAAAAGGAAAAGGGAAAATGGTTGAGAATGTCCCAGTGCAAGCAAGCGAAAAAGCATCAGCATCAAAGGACGTAGAAGAGTTCATGCGCTTGATTCGAAAAAGTGATTATAAGATTGTGGAGCATCTGCAGCAGACACCGTCAAAAATATCCATCTTGTCGTTGCTCTTATGTTCTGAAGCTCACAGAAATGCTTTGTTGAAAGTCCTGGATACTTCCTTCGTACCCCAAGACGTCTCCGTGAATCAGCTGGAAGGAGTGTTGGCACATGTGAATGCAGGCTACAACTTAGGCTTTACCGACTTCGATTTGACCCCTAAGGGGAGAGATCATAATATGGCGCTGCACGTATCTGTCGAGTGTAGAGGATCAGTCATGTCGCACGTATTGGTCGACACCGGATCGTCTTTGAACGTGATGCCCAAGAAAGCGATGATGAAGCTAGATGTCAGAGGAATCCTGTGCACGCCCAGTGACTTGATAGTCAGGGCATTCGATGGCACGCGAAGAACAGTCTTTGGATCGATAACATTGCCTCTACAGGTGGGGCCGGAGGTGTTTGCAACTGAGTTTTATATCATGGATATACAGCCTGCGTATAGTTGCCTGCTCGGAAGACCCTGGATTCATGGGGCTGGGGCAGTCACGTCTACCCTGCATCAGAAGTTGAAATATATGGTCGGAGACAGCGTAGTCACCGTATGCGGAGAAGAAGACATCCTGGTCAGCCATCTGTCGTCATTTAAATATGTAGAGGTCGACGGAGAGATCCACGAAACACCCTGCTGTTGCACCCTAATTTTTGACCGTAGGATCCCACCTCTTTTTGCGCATTTTTCTATTGTCATTCGTCTTTATTTTTAATATTTATGTTCATTGCGACTAACAAGCTTATGCAGGAACAACTATTTCAGGGGGTGACAGACTCATTCTCTGAACACTTCAAGGAGTGATTAACATACTTCAATTCAAGGACCCTAGTGTTTCCCGCTGAATTGGATCTTATAAATTTGACTCAACCGACCTAGAGTTTCAGCACACTCTTATCAAGGGAACGAAGTTTCTTTTCTCTCGAGATTCGTCTGGAACGACATCAGAGACTTCTCTCTTTAGTTTTGAGTTTAAGAACTTAAGGTTTTGTTATTTAGCATACGAGTTTGGATGCGAGAATCCCGAGCCGTAAGGACTTCTTTTGGGGAACAAGGCATTTTGTCCGTACCGGATTTAATTAAAACGGTTCTAAGGCCACGATGCATGACACCTTCAAGGAATTCATAATTGGTGCCATGGCTTGGGCTCAAATGTCGTATTAATTTGTAAGCCGTGAGAGGCATGTTTCCAAATTCTTCTTATCCCCAGAAGTTCTTGATTCAAGTTATGATTGCAGGACCCAGGTCGGTTTGGGATTCAAATACTTAATTTTGAATTTCACAAAGTTCCCTTCATCTAAGGGTAATAGATTTAAATGACAAAATCAAAGGTTCATAGCACCATTTCAACGTTATGGTTTAATTTGAGCAATCCAAAAGTGGTCACTGAATATCCATGGTCTATACAAGAATTACTCTTTACAAAAGTCATAAGTCTATTGCTATAGTCAGGAACATGAATACAAGACTCGGAAAGTGATTAAAAGTGCATCTGATGAGTGACCCAACAGCAATGGCATTCAGACTTCATGTGGGGTACGGTTTCCAAGTTATGTCATCGCCTCTAGCCGCGGAAGGTTACTATGTGAGCCCCTCCCTGCTTAAATTTTACCCACAGCTATTGCTTCAAACATCCCGGTTACCCTATCGTCGCGACATGTTCCAGCTTCCGAAAACCATGTGGGTCAAGATTCCATCAAGAGAGCAACCTATCAAGCAAGCAGAAATCCAAGTTAGCAGCACCTACAAAACGCATCAGAATGCCGTAAGAAAATTAATTCAAGGAGAAACACACGGTAATCTCTCGGCTATACCATGAAACACCAAGTCGGGGAGGCGTTCGAAGAGCCTATCACTTGACCGCACGAACGCTGCTATGAGGTCGTCAACCGCTAATATTTTCATCTGTAGTATGACATAACAATAATCAGAAGCAATTAGCATCATTAGATGGAAAGCTAAGATACATTACACCCTGTTCTAAAGAGCTTAAACAAAAGGTTTATATAAATGGTCAAGACACGTCTCATGATGCCATAGAGACTAACAGGGGCTTGACGGGCATATACTCAGTGTAGCATGTTACTTCATGACTTCCCAGATGTCCCTGCTGCGTGAGGTGCTTACATCCTGCAGCAATTGCCGGCGCCTGAACAAATACTTGTGGATAGTGGACCCTGATGCAGTTAAGGATTGAATAGCATATAAGGAAATACTCAGAAAGTGTGAGATATAGTTAAATTAGTAACCTCAAGCTGCAACAAAGTAACATGTTCGGAAATCTATCAGACAAGCTGCAAGTACATGACCTGAGCTCCTCCATGACGACATGATTAACGCACCAATACGAGAGCTGCTTCGAACCTTTGACGCAACAACCCAAACTAGGCAGAATTGGACCTCTGCATAAACACCATCAAATTAAATCATAAGAGAACTGAAATCAAGAAAAATCAGATATCATGGCGACATATTCAACATTATGCAAACTTATCATTGGCAGTCGCAGAAACATTACCCTTACGTGGCCATTTTGTTGAAGACGGGTAAGAAAGAGTGCAGAGTTAGATAGATTCCTTTACGTTGGACCTATACCCATTATGACCTTAGTCTCCAACATTGTTTCCCGATTCGTGGAGTTATGGCAGGACGTCCATGGGCTCCATTCTCACGATCCATAACATACTTGAGCCTAGAGGATCGATTGGATATCACACAACCTGTCGCAAATACAGAGAACAGAAAAACAAACCAACAACACCATTAATGTTTCTTCTTCTCTCTCTAATAACAACAAGAACACAGTGATACGCTGCATTTGGAAAATTTCAATCAACAGAAAAAATGAGGTCTTCTTCTTCTACTGCTGCTGATTCGGGTACGATCAATATCGCTGCGAGTGCTCAGAAGCTTGATGTTGATAATCGAATTGCTCTTCGGTTTTATTATCGGGTTGCTGATAACATACTTCGGCAGGCCGACATCTTTCGCGCAGAGAAGAACATCATTGACCTATATGTCCTGCTTTCGAGATTTTCTAGTTTGGCATCTGAGACAATACCGCGTCACCGAGAGTATAGATCATCTCCACAAACCAAGAAACAGTCATTGAAAAAGAGATTGAATGAACTAGAGAAGCTGGAACCAATAGCCACCAGGACAGTTAACCAGCTCTACTTCCTCAGTCCCCAATTAAGGCCGCTTACGGCGAAGTTTCTAAGAGCTGGAAACACGAGCTGACACGGGGCATTGCTTGCGTGTCAATGCTACCTGAAATAAGAGACAGTATGATCAGTTAACACAAGAACGGAGCCTTCGCCAATCCATACCATGTTCACGTTACACTAGATCTGCTACAAACTATAAATTCACCACAAATAATCAGAGCACCTTAATATGGATCCAATCGTTTGCGAATCTTCGGCGTCAACGTCATCTCTCTGTGTCCACGCCAGCATTCATCAGAACCATCCTAATTCGTTGAAAAGGCCATAGGCAGTTATATGTTAAACCAAAACTCAGAAGAAGTCATGCAGCCACAACCTCATGTCAACTCCAGCCAAGCTCCCTTTCTAGCAAACCACTGTGGCATCGTTCCCTGCAAGACCGATTGCACAATGAAAGCCTTCAAAGAAATTAGAGAAAGTGGTCGCAGACATCATTGTTTGAATCGAATGAACAACAAAGTGATATCAGGACCGAAGCTTACCATCCAAAGGTCATCAAAACACCAACAACTTTGCTCTTCCTCGCTCGCGTGATTGTAGCCGCTAGTACCCTTGTTTCATAAGACCACATATCTTGCATTCAGTTTACTCACAAGGGAGATATTCAGAATTGCTATTCTTCACCACCAACTTTGCTCTTCGTGAGATCCCCACACGCATCAAGCAAGAACTCATTCTGGGCTTCTGATTCGTCACTCAGCCCAACATCACATTTGTTATCCGCACCTGTTAAAAGACAAAATCGGGTTAGCATTGTACTTGGAGAGAATATTCCGTAAAAATCCAACCAAATCCAATCTCAGTGTGAACCCCAATCGAAGATTTGAAACCCCGGTTAGGAAAGGTTTCAAATTTCGCACAGACAAAAAAGGAAGGTTCAATCAGTTTTAAAAGCATTTTAAATCAGGTTTCAAAGCATTGATCTTCAAAAGGGGCTATATAAAACGAGGGGAGAGATTCACAGGGGGGTCCAGAATAAAAAAAACCCTAACATTACCGAAAAGAAACGCCGAAGGCGTGACCTAAAAAAAAAGGGATTGAAAGACGACTTATCTTCTTTAACCGTTGAAACCGCCGCCGCAAACACCTAATCGCCACAAGGGACATCACCCTCCGGCCGTCTCAAGCTTCGCCGCCGCTCACCTTTGGTAAAACCCCCATCCTTGAACTATCGAATCTATTGATTGTTTGGTGTTGTGTTTCAGGTACAAAAAACAGAACGAGATGATGAAGGTTTGAACGGAGATCGAACAGAGATTTGAAGCGGGGATTGAACGAGAGAGAAGACGAGAAAGCCGTGGATCGGGAGAATTGGGGGGGGTGGATTAGGGTTCTTTCTTTCTTTATTTTTTTCTGCTTGTTGTTGTATCCGTTAATCACACACACACCATACACTAAACACTCACTTAACATGCACATAACCCCCTATTAACCCGTTTAAGTCTCAATTAACTCTTTATAATCAGTTTTTATTCTAATCGATTAAACTTACTTCAAATTTTTTTATTTAATCTCAACCAGATTTTATTGATAGGTTTTTTTGGAATTATTAATATAATAACTCAATTCCATCTTTGCTAATAGTTAATTCTCACCATAATCAATTTTAATAATCTTTTTATAATTTTATAAGATAATTTCTCTTTTAAATAAATTGATTTATTTTACTAATTAATTTGAAATAACTTTTCTAAATCAACTTATTTTTTTTAATCAACTTCCCCCATGATATAAAATCTTTTTATAAATAAGTTGCATTTACCAAGTTACCTCTAATTAATAATATAGCTTTTCCTAAATCAACTTTTTCTCAAAATAAGTTAACTTCGTCTAATTCAAACCATTCAATCCGTCTAAAATCAACCCATCTTAAAACAACCTCTCGCCTAAAATCAAACTTCACTAGCCAATTCGATCAACAACGGTAATTTCCTCATCAATTAAATCAACTTTCTTTATTCAAACCGAAACAAGTCAAACACAAAAATCAATTTAATCAATCAACTACCTAAAATCAAACCAACATCGTAATAAAATCAATCGTGCACTCACGACACATGCACCTACACCATAGCGCTTTCATGCGTATTTACATTTATCGTTATCTGCTTTATCTTAGCCACAAAGCACACACACTCACTTAGCGCTTTCATGCGTTCGTGTATGGTTTATCTTTCTGCAATTTACATTATCGCAATTCATTTACATTATCAATTTATATCCATGCATCGCATTCCGTCCAAAGGAAAAACCTACATATAATCCAACGTTGTGTGTAGTTGCACATCATATGCATCATGTTCCCTTAGATCCTTGATTCTTCAAGTTGATCGTTTAGGATAGATCCTACCCCATAGGAAGGACCTTAATCTTTACAACTTAGACAAACATAATCAACAATACAACTTTCTCAAACACAAATAGAGAATAGATGTTAATCATCTTAAGTGAGACATAATCTCCACCCCCCACAACAATACAATCAAACACGTAGGGACTTTGCCTTAAGAACAACAAAGGCATGCTTGGCGACCATCCAAGTATGTAAGACCTTTTCTTAAGACGATGCAAAGACCATTTCCTACAACCCCCTTTACATTTGTGGCGGTTATCTCTCCCTTAAAATGAGGACTCGTCTCTTCTCCTAGACCCAATCAAAACAACTACCCTAAACCCGTAGGAACTTTGACCACAGTCAAAGAACTCCTCTAACCCTTTAGGGTGAACTACAACATACTCTGATTCCACTCCCGTAAGGATATGTAGGCACAAGGTGCGATGCCTTATCGAGTATACTTAGAAATAAACCCCTAGGGTCTCTAAACCTTTAAGCAGATAAACACTTAGCAGTAAACAAACATAAAACAAGAGGTTCCTGTAGAGTACTACAGAAACTTAGGATGCTAGTACCTTCCCTAAGTTTAACCAACCCCCGAACCTAAACAAACTAGCTTGCATTTGCATTGCATTGTGGGAATTTCGATCTTTATCCCTTCCTTTGGACAAATCAAAGTTCGGTTGCAAAATGAATTAAAGATTCAAACTAATCAATAGTTTGGTATCCGATTTTCACCGCGACAGAAATGGCGACTTCACTGGGGACTCTCTAGTGGGTTTCCCTATCTTATTTTATTTGTTTACTGCTTTTTATATCTGCCTACTTGATTATGTGTTTACATGCTTCCTCTTGTATTTCTTTTGGGATTGTTGTCCTTGAGTGGTGAGATAAAGTTCTACACCCGAACTTTGAGAGAAATTAAGATAGGATGGTGATATATTCGAGGAGGCTTATAGGGAGTGGAATCCCTACTAAGTTGAATCGAGAATCCCGCTCAGTTGAGGCCCTTTCGAAATAGTACTGTTGAACGATCCATCGTGAAGACACTCACTACTTTCGACTTCGGAGCCCATGATATTGAGGACCGTAGTTACCTTAACCCAACTTTGGCCTTTATTAGGACGTAGTGCGGGACTATGAGGAAGTACTTCCGAAATAGTGCTACGCGATGCTACACTCAAAAGAAGTTCTCTTGAGAATATTATTAACCCTCGAGTACTCGGGAAGTTGATAATATCCGAAAGATGGGCTAATGACTTTGGGAACCTCTTAGAACCTTGTTCTGCAGGTACAAACAACCTTTAGTCCTTAAACCTTTGGGAAGGGTACACCTTTACTCCATGCTCGTTGCAAACCTAGGGCCCCCCCCTTGTTTGTTTATCTTTATTGTCCTTATGTGAATACTTGTGTTTGCTGCATTCATATAACATCATTCTGCATTGGACTTCATGGGATTTACCTTCGTTTATGAACATTGTAGGTCATTATGACTTCAGATAAAAGACATACTGTGAAATATACTTTTAAGAGTCCCAAATTGGATGACCTAAAGAAGTTGTGGGGTTTCATCGAAGATCAAGAAGGATTCAAGACCAAGTATGGGAAGCTGATATCCTTGTTGGGTTGCTCAGTGAATGAAGGACTTCTTGCCACCTTGCTACAGTTCTACGATCCTCTCTACCATTGTTTCACCTTTCCAGACTTTCAGCTGTTACCTACATTGGAAGAGTATTCCTTTTTGGTTGGTCTACCTGTCCTTGAAGAATCTCCTTTTCCCTTCCTGGAAAAGGACCCCGATGCAAAAGATATTGCTAAAGCTCTCCGTTTGAAGGTATCTGACGTCAAAGCCAACCTAGTTACTAAGGATGGAATTCTTGGTTTAAAGACAGGTTTCCTAATCGAGAAGGCTTCATTCTATGCTGATTATTCTAATAAGGCTTCGTTTGAGACGATCTTTGCTTTGCTCATTTATGGGTTGTTTCTATTCCCGAGTTTCGAAGGTTTCATCGATCTCAAAGCATTCAAGATCTTTATGAAGAATAACCCAGTACCAACTCTGTTGGGAAATGCATATCACTCTATACATCTCCGAAACCTTCGTGGCGGAGGGATGATTACTTGTTGTGTACCTCTACTTTACAAGTGGTTTATTTCGCACTTGCCGAAGTCTAGCTCTTTTACAAACATTGGCAAAGAGCATTGGTCTCCAAGAGTTATGGCTTTGACCCATTCTGACATTGATTGGTACAACCGAGTGTATGATGGAGTATTAATCATTGATAGCTGCGGTGACTTCGCTAATGTACCATTGCTCAGCTTTGATGGAGGAATCAGTTACAATCCTATCTTAGCTCGACGACAGCTGGGATACCCGTTGAAGGAACCTCCCAAGAGTGTTCAAGTAGAGGGTATGTTCTTCAAAGATGATATAGAGCTTCTAGGAAGAGTTCTGGACGCGTGGCGTAGGGTATACAAGAAAGGGAAGAGAAGTCTAGGGAAGCCTAACTGTGTGTCTTTAGAACCATACCTCCAGTGGGTCAGAAAAAGGGCAACCAATCTGAAGATGCCCTATTCCCGTCAAGATCCCATAGCTCCAAGGAGGGAGCCCACTTATGTCTTTATGTCTAAAGCCGAGGAGTTAGAGGTGTCCTTAAGGAAGTCTCAACATGAGCTGG